TCCCCGCTCTGCCCCGCAGTGCTGGGAGGTTCGGAAACAGAACAGCTCCGAGTGGTGCCGCTTCATCCGATCCAACCCCGACTGCCGGATGGACGGGGGCTTCCTCGACTACCTCAATGGGGTCTTCTGCGTCTTCCCCCCCCGGCTGCTGCCCCTCGCTGTCACCCTCTATGTAAGGACGGGAGCAGGGCAGTGCTGAGGGATGCTCCGCTGTGGGGGCGTGGGGGGGGACCCCACTGACCCCACTCTGTGCCACCCCTGACCCCGCAGGCTCTCTGGCTGCTGTACCTGTTCATCATCCTCGGTGTGACAGCAGAGAAGTTGTGAGTGGCCCCTCAGAGAAGGGGACGGTCCCCAGGGTGAGCAGGAGCCCCATGGTCTCTGAGCAGCCCCATCAACCCTCTCCGCCTCCTTCTCTGCCTTTCCAGCTTCTGCCCCAACTTGTCGGCCATCTCCACCAACCTGAAGCTGTCCCACAACGTGGCAGTATCCTTGGCAAAGCACATGAGACCTCATCCAGGGAGGGGGGGATGTGGGGACAGGGCAGAGGAGGTGACAGTGACACTTTGTGTCCCCTTGGCACCGTGCCAGGGGAAATCAGTTCGGAGCGTGAGCCTGGAGGTGGCACCGGGACAAGCAGTCTGAGCTGGCACTGGGCAGGAATGCACAGCCCCCCTGCGTCCCCACAGGGGTAGAGACCCCCAGGCCTTTTCCTTGACGTGCCCTCTCCATGGCGTCACCTTCCTGGCCTTTGGAAATGGGGCCCCGGATGTCTTCAGTGCCGTGGTGGCCTTCTCTGACCCCCGGACAGCGGGGCTGGCCATCGGGGCCATCTTTGGTAAGGGGACCCCCACTGCCAGCTCCTCCCTGGGAGCTGCTGGCTTGGGATCCGTGTCTGGGGGGAATATTGTGGAGCCGTGAGATGTTCCCACCCGCTGAGAGGGCCCCGTGGCGTTGGCAGGTGCCGGTGTGTTCGTGACCACGGTGGTGGCCGGGGGCATCGCCCTGGTCAAGCCCTTCACGGCCGCCTCCAGGCCCTTCCTCAGGGATGTCATCTTCTACATGTTGGCCGTCTTCCTCACCTTCATGGTCCTCTACTTCGGCAGGATCAGGCTGGGAGAGGCTCTGGGTGAGCGCTGGGGGGGTGCTGGGGCTGGGGAGTGGTGGGAGCAGCCTGGGGGTGCCATAACCCCCCCCATCACTCCCCCCTCCCAGGTTACCTGGGGCTGTACGTGTTCTACGTCGTCACCGTGGTGCTCTGCACCTGGATCCACCGGCGGCAGCGGGGGGACGGGACGGCCTCCCCCGGGCCCTGGGAGCCAGGTAAGGGCCACCTGGCTGTGGGGGGACCCCGGGTGTGTCGGGGTTTCCTTCCACTGTCCCCCTCCACTCCTCCTCCCCGCAGAGATGCCGACGGATTCCGAAGAGCCGGAGCCCTCAGGCACGAACAGCAGTGACTACGGTATGTTCTTCCTGCTGGGCTTGGGGCTGGCTCTGTCCTCGGGGGTCCCAGAGACCCCCAGGCTGCTGCATGTGCGACTGAGTCCATGGGGTGGGCATGGCCGGGTGCTGCTGCCCTGGGGCAGGTGGATCCCCCTGGAGGCACACAGGGCACTGCAGCCCCACGCTGGAAGGGCTGGGGGAGCCCAGGGAACCCCCCCTCACCCTGCTCAGCCACTGTGGCCCCTCTCAGGTGAGGAGTACCGGCCCCTGCTCCCCTCCCAGGAGACCTCCCTGCGCATCCTCACCACGGCCCTCAGCCCCTTGGACTACCGCAAGTGGAGGAGGAAGCCCTGGTACTGGCGGCTCTTCAAGGCCTTCAGGGTGAGTAGGGGGGACATGAGCCAGGAGAAGCCCCCCCATGGGGCATCCCCAACCCTGCTGGCCCTTGGGGCTGTGTCACCCCCCCAGGCTTTGGAGTGGGGATGGTGGGATGTGTGGTGGGTTGGGGATGGTCACAGGGCACCTCACAGGGTGTCTCAGCTTGGGGGTCCCTCACCCCAGGTGCCCGTGGAGCTGGTGCTGCTGCTCACTGTTCCCGTTGTGGACCCTGACAAGGATGACCTGAACTGGAAGAGACCCCTCAACTGCCTGCACATCCTCACCAGCCCCCTGCTCTGCATCCTCACCCTGAAGTCGGGCGCCTGTAAGAGTCCAGGGCATTCCCAGCTCCCAGGAGGGGACGGGACTGAGGTGGCCACCAAAGCCCTGGGGACTATAGGAGCCCCTCGGAGCTGGCTCCCTGTTCTGGGGAGGGAGAATGGGCAGTGAAGAGCCAAGCTGGAGGCCTGGTTTGCAGCTGGATGTACCCTCACAGGGCTGGGGTGGCGCCCCAGCATCCAGGACCTGGAGTAAAAATGGAGCAGGCCTGGCCTGCCTGGAGAAACTAAGGCACTGAGGGGAGCAGCCCTCTGAGGGCTTAGGATAGAGGTGACTTTAGAGGACAAGGCTTTACCTCCTACCTTGAGTTTGGTCAGATCCTGCCCCAGCTGCTCTGATGTCCCCTCTCCCCACTACGTGCAGATGGGCTGTACCAGATCCAGGGCGTCTTCCCAGTCTGGGGACTGGTCACACTGGTTGGCTCTGTCCTGGCTGTCATCATCTTCATCACCACAAGCAACGAGGAGCCGCCCAAGTATCACTGTGTAAGGTGTCCTCCAGCCCTGAACACCCACTGGGGACCAACCCAGCCTGCTCTGGTCTGGGCTGAGGGTCCTGGGGGCAGAGCAGGAGCCAGGACCTCTTTCCCATTCCCCAGTGTCCCTAGGAAGGATATGACTGACTGAAGGTGGGCAGGGCCCTGTGGGATGTACCCAGGGCCCAGCCTGCACCTCTTCCTGGCAGGTATTTGCCTTCCTTGGGTTTTTGGCCAGTGCCATGTGGATCAACGCCGCAGCCACAGAGCTGGTGAACATCCTGCGGACCCTGGGCATCATCTTCCAGCTGAGCAACACCGTGTTGGGCTTGACACTGCTGGCCTGGGGCAACAGCATCGGTGGTGAGGGCTCTGCTCTGCCCCAGTGCCCCCCAGGCACACCCTGGGGTCCCCCTGCCATCCCCCAAGGTCTCCCCTTCTCCCTCTGCAGACACCTTCTCCGACCTCACCATGGCACGGCAGGGCTATCCCCGCATGGCCTTCTCCGCCTGCTTCGGGGGCATCATCTTCAGTATCCTTTGGGTGCCAGGGGCAGAGGCTGCCTCGATTTCCCTGCCTACAGCCCAGGAGAGGCCCTGGTCCTGTGGGACCCCTGGAGAGGAGCTGGGCAGGATCCAGCCCCAAGCCCCAGTGATGTTGGCAACCTCCTCGATGTCCTCACGGTGTGGGGGGGCTGGTGTGGTATTTGTGAGCTGCAAGGGTGGAGCCATCAGCACCACACTGTCCCCATGGCTCTCCCAGCCCCAGAAGGGTGGGAGTTTGGGCTGGAGTCTGGCAAATTTGGGATTTGCCAAAGGGAAAGAGGGGAAGACAGAGCCTGTGCCTCCCTCTGGTGGGTCCCCAGGCCAGGCTGAAGCCTCTCCTCCTCAACTGCTCCCGGTTGTATTTACCACAAGCAGGGGAATGCTTTGGGGCCAGGCAACAACCATGGGGTGCAGAAAGGAGGAGGAAGGCTGGTGCTGTGCCCCTCCCCAGGGTGGGAGGGATGTGTCTGGTTCTGTCACTGCCCCAAGGTCTCCTGTGCTGTGTCTCCATCCTGAACGTGCCCCAGACATCCTGGTTGGAGTGGGACTGGGCTGCCTGCTGCAGATGAGCAGCAGCCCCCCCCCCCAGCCGCTGGTGAAGGTAAGGCACGGTGACACGGGTCAGGCTGGCAGCAGGACCCTGGTGTCACCCCACATCACTCCCCATCTCTCTGGCAGCTGGAGCCCGACAGCCTCCTGGTCTGGGTCCTGGCAGGGGCCCTGGGGCTGAGCCTGGTCTTCTCCTTCGTGTCGGTGCCAGCTCAGTGCTTCCAGCTGGGCAAGGCCTACGGCGTCTGCCTCATCACCTACTACCTGGTGTTCCTCTGCGTGGCCCTGCTGACCGAGTTCAGGGTGATCCATCTCTCCACCTCTGACTGACCCCAGGGGATCACATCCAGCCCTGGATCTCATTCTGCCCCTCCCCTGTCCCTGCCAGGGGGACAAGGGCACCCTGACCCCAGCTGAGCTGCTGGAGGTGCCAGCCCAGCCCTCAGCCTTCACTTCAGAAAAGAGGATGGCTGTGGTTAGAGAGGGGAGTTGTTAGTCACTGGCCACATCCTCTGCTCGCTCTGTTTAATCTGTTTAACTCATGGCAGCCCTGGGCAGGAGCAAGGTCGAGACCTCGGCTGCCTCTGGTCCCAGTGGCAGGGGCAGAGGATGGGGCAGCTCTGGTTCAGGGGCACAAGAAGAGAGGCTTTACCTCCTCAACCACTTCACTTTCCCCTCCTCACCTCCATCCAGCTGGTCCAGGACAGGGCTGGGGCCGTTGTGTAACACAGGGTAACTCTAAAAGTCCAAGCAGATGTTTGTCCTTCTAAAGGACACTCTGTGTGGGCACCGTGGGGCTGGAATAGCAGCTGGGGCAGAGCCAGACAGGGTTAAGGTGAGTCAGCGCTCCAGGGCAGCGCTGGGTTTAGTGCAAGCAAAGCTGGAGGAAAAGCAAACACCAAACCAAGGGAGGCTGGTTTCCCCTGCTTTTTTTAGTGATGTTTTTCAAGCCGAGTTTCAGATCCTACTTTTCTCCTCCTCCTCCTCCTGGGGCGGGTAGAGCTGTAGGAAAGGACCTGGAAGTTTCGACACAGTGTTAGCCTCTGGCAGGACTAGGTTTAGACACTGTAAAAAAAATTGCAATAATAAAACCTCACAAACCCAGCCTTGGCTTCTGTTTGCTGCGAGGGCAATTTCTCTTGCCCTATTGCTGGCGTGACACAGCCCTTACTCAGCGTGGAGCCTTTGCAGGGCAGAGGGAACAGCGGGGGCTGAGCTGGGAGTGACACCCCAGGCCACCCAGGGCGGTGTTCCCCAGGGTCTGGGAAAGTGGTTTCCTCTGGGTTCACCAGCAGCCGCTGTCCCAGGAGCAGTCACATGTCCCCTCACGTTGGGAAAGGATGTGACACGGTCGATGTGTCGCGGTCGTGCCAGGGGTCAGCACGGGCGGTGGGAGGCACCGCTCAGTCCCTGGGGACAGGGACACGGGAGGGGCTGCCCGCGGTCCCAGGGGAGGACACAGCGAGCGGGCTCGTGGTTCTGCTCCCAGCGAGGAGCGTCCACAGAGCACAGGCTGGAAAGCAAAGTGCTGTTCCAGAGGGTCACCCACCTCACTGCCCCATGGGAGAGGGGGGTGTTGTGCAAGCAGCACAGCCGCCGGACCCAGCCCCTGCTCCCTTCTGGGGGTGCCAGCAGCCTCCTGGCCCTGGAGCATTTCTCCTTTTTCTAACCAGGGCTTTCACAAAAAATAACGCTCCCTGTGCCTGCAGCTATTGGCTCTGCCCCGAACCTGCTCCGGAATTATCCGGGAGACAACCCCCACTTCCTTCCACCCAGCAAGGCTGCAGCAATCGAAACCGCAACAGAGGCACAGGGTCAAACACCCCTTCTGGCCTTAACCCTGGAGAGTTAAAAAACTTAACTGAAAGCATTATCCTGAGAAAAAACTGGCAGAGGGAGGGCAGAAGGGAAGCTGGGCTTTGCAATGTCTTGGAACAGGAATTCAGAGCAGTTCGTCAGGGCACGCACGCAAAATATTCCCAATGCAAGCACTTGCCACTGGAGAGGGAGGGCAGGGCGGGCAGTGTTCCTCTTCAAACACTGGAAATGCTTCAGCTTGGCCAAACCCCACTTCTGGAATAACACAGGGAAGGAAGAGAGGAAGCCGCTGCCTTTACAAAGCCAAGGGTGCTTTTTATTAGTGCGCCTGAAAAAAAATCTAGAGAACATTTGACAGACATACCCATAAAATCGTTTTTATAAACAAAACACCAGCATACAAAATCCTGCAGTGCTTCCTCCCGTGCTCCCTACAAAATGATTGTCTCCATCATTAGTCTGTGTGTTGGGGTGGGTGGAGGGGAAAGAGGAGGATAAATAGAAGGGGATGCCCCGTACTCAAACTTTGTTTCCTTCCAAAGTCATATGGAAGAAGCAAACTCCTGCCACCCTCCTTGGTTTACAAAAATAATTAACCCAGTGGGTACGTGGGGGTGGATCAACACCTTGGCATGAAGCCACAGAGGCAGCACCTGTGCCCTGACCCCAAGCCTTCCACAGAGCCCTGTTATTGCATGATAAGCAGGTCAGTGCCCCCCTCAGTACAGCTTAGAGCCACAGCTCCTTTCACACCCAGAAAACATCCCCCCCCCAAAAAAAGTCACTGACAGCCCTGCCAGGAGAATGTGCCAGGGGAACGTGGAGATTAAACACAGCCACATTTTTCACCCCCTCACCTTCACAATGCTCATTCCTCCCGCCCATAACTTAAAGCACAATAAACACCATCTCCTCCAGCCCCAGGACTAATCTGGATAAACCTCCTGGGCTGCGACTCCACGCAGAGCAACTGCAAGAGCAACAACTGCACTGCTCGTTAATTTGTGGTCGAATTTATGGTTTGGAAAACAGCCCTTTAAGGTCCTTCACGGTTCAGAAGTTGTTTCATACCTGCAAGTATACAGAAAGGAAACAAAGAGTTGCCAAGAGGCACCCAGGGAATTTGGCAAGGGTTGGGAGCAGCCACTGGTGTGTGCTGCATGGAAAGCTGCTCACCCACTCCTTCCATCCCCGTAGCTCCCACCGTGCTGTGAGAGATTTCCAGAAGCAGCTCTGTCTTGCCTACCTCTGTCTCATCCACCCAGGAAATGCTCCTGAGCTGCCTGGCTAGGATCAGCCCTCTCCCACTGTCCTTGTGCCCCTTGGTGAGGAAAAGACAGGGATGTGGGACAAGGGGAATGGGGACACAGATCTCCCACTGCCTGAGGTACCCAATGGAAGGAGAAAGCTTCCCCAGCGAGCTCTGCTCTTAGTCCAAACCTGAGGAAAGACCAAACAGCAAGAGGTGAGGGGAACCTCTGCTGTCAGCACTTTCTGTGCTGACAGGGAAAAGAGGGACTTGGAGAAACAGGTTCAAATGAAACATGAGCAATGACAACCTGCCACAATCACACAACAAACATGGCAGAGCTGGGAAGGGATCCCTTTTTCCCCCCTTCCTTCCCAGCCCTCAGCTGCCACATCTGGCAGCCTCCCTGCCAGCTGCAGAAAAGCTGATGGGCAAGAAGAATCATTGTCTTCCACGTTCCTCCTGTGTCCAAAATTCAGAGGAACAGTAAAGCTCTTCAGTGGATCTTCCCAAGATCCCACTGAATGGACGTTTGCCAGCCTGAGGAACATTTCTGCAGGGGTGAGAGCAAGGGAGGAGCAACACTGCTGGTGCTGGGACTGTCACCTGCACAGAGCAAGGACCTGGCTAAGCACTAACCAGCAGGACTGTTTGAAGCTCTCCTTAGCCCAGAGCCAGGCAGAAATAAGCCAGACTTGGAGCTGAAAAGCCTTGCTTTCTTCCTTCCAGTCATTTATCTGAGCTAAGGACCAGCCAGAGGTCTGCCCTTTGCAGAGCAGCTGGCCAAGTGGCAGAGGCCAACAGCCACGTCGTGCTGCAGAAACCCACCCCAGAGCAGAGACAGGAGCTTTGGGGTTTGCAGACCCCAACCTCAGGCAGGGCCACGGGCAGGACTGACCAGCAGCAATAGATACTGGATGGCTACAGAAGAGACAGAGTTTGTGTCCCCAATCCCCCACCCCACCTATGGTCACAACATGATGAGGTGCTGGCCCTCGGTTCTGCCTCAGAACTGCTCAGGGACAGGTAAATTCAATAATCAGAGCTGGAGATACTAAAGGGAGTGCATCTACATGTGCCAAAAAGGAGGGGGAAGGCAGTCTGCTCTTCCAAAAGTGCTGAGATTTCACACCACCTCCCCTTTCTTTGCATAAGGAAGGTGGAGAAGAAAAACTCACTCCCTGATCTTTTATTCCTAGGTTAATGGTACCCTTTAAGCAAGAGGGATCTTCAAAAAGGGCCAAGGTTTTAATACTAAGCAGGTGACTTCAGCAAATTCCCTGCTGTTAATAGATTACACATCCCTTTCCCCACAGTCTGTTAGTGGTAAGACAGGCAGCAGGAACAGGCAGCAGGCTGGAGCCTGGGAAGTGGCTCAGAGGGACAAGGGCTCTGTTCTGTCCAAAATGTTCACCCTGCTCAACCTGTGTGCAGCAGCCTTACACAGAGCCCCCTGGGCCCCTGGTTTTTTCAGCAACCCACTGCTGGGGAAGAGATTTGAACCCTAAACCAGTACACTGACAGGTCTATATACATCATCCCAAAATACACTGTGAAGGGGTACTCTAGGTTATTGCATAGAAGGCGGCTCGCGTTAGCTAGGCCTAAATGACAGTCTGGGAGCGTTGTCGGAGGCTCAGGGGCTTCAGAGAGCTGTTGGAAGCAGATGCAGGCTCCTGCAGTGGTGTCTGAGATTCCTCTTTTCTGGAGTGCTCCTCATACCATTCCTGCAACAGGAGACCAAAGACACAGGGATCAGGCTCTGCCCCACGCTGGCCTTGGGTGACTCTGCCATGTGAGGGCACGTTTGTTCAGGCACAGAGGGCTCTTTCCAAAGCCCTGGATACTCCTGGAATGACCCTGTTAACTGCAGCCCAATTGTGATGGATGCATTGAGACCTTGCCAACCACAGTCCAAGCAAACCTGGGCAAGGAAACGCCCCTCTCTCAGGATGTCCCTCCTGAACATCCAGGGGCTCTGGTATTGATGTTCCCGTGATATCTGGGATTTGCAGAGCTGCTCCCAATCCTGTGTTGCAGCATGTCACATCCCTGAATCACAGACCAAGAAGAACAGGCAGGGAGCTTCTCTGCAGATCACTCAGCCCCGTGGTAAATAATGTTTAAAAAAATGTTTATTTTCCTTAGGGAGACTGAAGACTCATCCCAAGCTGGCTGCCCGGGGACAAAGGACGGATTCAAATGGTTACAAGATTAATCCTTTCAGTACTAATTAGCCCACAACCTTCAACTACCTTTGGCAGGGCAGTGACCAAATCCATGGCAGAAAGCTCCTGACCACGGAGGGCACAAGCAGGAAGGTGCTAAACTATCCAGGCAACCAGCTGATTAACGTGTTTCCCATCTTGCTCAGCCTGCTGCTCTGAAGGCAAACCAGGCAGCACTGCCTGGGAGAACCTTTGGTTTCTGTGTCAGACAGACACACCTAAGCTCAAACACATTCCAGGGGTTTAGCAACCCTGTGCTCAGCAGCCAAGCCCCAGGCAGCACCAGGCATGTGCTCACAGCCCCAGCAAACACCCAGGGAGTCCAGGTGAGCTCAGCCAAGGTGGAGTGCCTGCACACACCCTGAGTGTGGTTACAGTGACACACCTGCCCAGCTGGGCACCTGGACCCACTGAGGAGGCTCTGATGTGCTCTGTGGTTTAACAAAATCACTGAGAGCAAGAAAGGATCAACCTGAACTACACTTCCTGGATGCCCACCCTTCTCTCAGCTGCCTGCTCCTGGAGGAAGGCAGTCTCCTGTGTTTAGAGGGGTGGATTGTTATTCCAGACAATGGTTTGTTCACCACAGAGACCTGTTAATATCTTCAGCTCAGGCCCACATACCTGTATCTCCTCCTCATACATCTTCATACTCAAATCACTCTTGGTCCTTGATCTGCGTCCCAGAAACACTGTTGACATTTGCTGAAGAGTTGGGGGAAGGGGGAGGAAAAAACAAAAGAGACATTAATCAGTCACTGAGCAGCTCACAGGATCAGTCCTGGCAGTTCAGGCATCCTTCATGATCC